CATTAAAATCCCTACCCAAACGCCAAGGCTTAAGGAAATCCTCTTTTAATTTTACTAAGCTATCCCATAACTTCCCTCTTAAGCCCACTTTATTAGGTGCATAAATATTTAAAATAGCAACACTCAAAAGAGTTAAAGAAAGTACTTGATAGTATGATGAACCTCATGTTGTTACAACATTCTAAGATTTGGAATATATCTAAATCCTAAATACATAGTAATCCTCCAGCTGATCCTTCAGAATCAACAGCCATAAACTCCATTTTTGTCCCTTGCCCATATTGATCTTACTTCAACCTCTGAAATCTCTAATTTTTTTGTTTCTTGAAAAAGAGCCATGTCCACATTTCTATCTTTCAAAAGTTTCCTTATCTTACTTTTCTTTTCCTTCCTACCCAACCCTCTCATATTCCATGTTAGTACCATCACAACAAAGCATTGATACTCCTTAACATCACCCTAGTTAGTGTACCTTATACCTCAACTCTGTTGCCCCTTTAATTCTTTCCTTATCCTTCTTCTCTAGTTCCATAATCATGTTAATCACTCCATCTTATTTCCCATTGTACTTCACTTCCAAAAATTCTCCCATTTTCAAAGTTGTTTGGGCTTCATTCAATATGTACCTCCCTTTACCTAACTCATTCTCAATCGAGGCTAATAAGGATATTGTTGCCACTATTGCTCTCCATACTACAACCTTTGGGGTTGATTTGATTGTTGGAGCCCTTTTTTGTCTAAACCTCCTAACTACATTAAGGGAGCCTTTTTTTGAATACTTTTGATTTTGTTTAGTTCTACTTCTCACGTTCTTATTTCCTCTCATTTTGTTTTGCAGATCAAATACCAGGCTCCTTCTCCTGGGCTTCAGACATACTTGAACATCTCACAACTGGCCCATATGCACCACTCCTCTCCCTTATATCACTACCCTAAAATCTGGGTCCATTTTGAAGTTGTTGAACTTGTTTCAACCCATACCTCTGACATGTCCCTTGATTTTGGCCTGGTACCACTTCTAATTCTAGTCCAGCCCTAATTAGACTTGATCCACGTGAGCTTCTAACATAGCCTGGCGTGAGCATATGATCATCAATGCTCTGACTTTTACTAGTGCCATCTACAGAGCCAATTTTTTGGTTCCACATTCCCATCATTAAGTTGCATGCCTCTCCATTAGTCTCCCTTCCCACACCACCTCTTGACTCTTTAACTTCTATATCACTTCTCCAGCACACCTCTTTCTCCACCTCATCACCCTTACTCTCTCCACGTGGCTTGTAATCTTTAGTCATTTCACTCTTAAACTCTAGGTTATGGTCTGAGTCATCCTCCGTGTCATCATCCTCTTCCTCAACACTGTTGTTCCCCTCCATATCCTATTTCTCCATATCATTAGAGCTATAATTCTCTTCCATCTCTTGATACTTATGGCACTTGCACACTAATTTGATCATTTTTTCCATTACCATAGGTTCTTCACATACTCTCACTGGATGTAACAAGCCTCTGCATTCCAAGTTTAGTACCTTATTAATTGGTTCCATGCATTTGGTGGAGACCTTAACCTTGGCACACACAAATAACTGAGGTTGGCTTGTATCCCCATCAACAAACAGGACTTGCCCTCGTAACCCACCAATCCTTTTCAAATTTGACCTATTCCATAGGTTTAATGGAATGGCATAGCAACTGATCCGAACACACCTTTTCTGCTCAAGAACCAGTCCTGCTTTTCTTTCATAAATAACTTCACATCAGTCCATAATCAACTTCTTAATGGGCTTCAGTTTCAATACCATCTCCTTCTTTGATTTGAATGTTAAAACCACATCATGTCCCCCACTTTCTTTTACCATAATATTCTCCATGCCTATGTAGACACCCCATTTTGACCGCCCCTAAGACTTGGGTAGTTCAATTCAAACACTCAATGATGAAAGTTACATTATGTAAATTGTTCGAATCTTCAAACAAAATAATTCAGTTTTGAGTTTCAAACCCAAACCTTGCACCCTATTTGGATCAAACCCTATTTTTCTAGCCTGACCACTAAAAAATAGCAAAAACAAAAAGGATAGGCAGGCCACATTGCTTGGCCGGCTGGCCATGTTTTTCGAGAACAAATATTTTGTAGCTGCCAACTGCTCCCATACACGAGCTTTGGCTAGCTAGTCTTTTTTGAAGATATTTACGTTGAAGTCGATTGTTTTTCTATAAATACAGCCCCTCACTTGATGGTTTAGGTGGAAGATATTCCTAAAGGCTTAGAAGTTTACCAAAAGTTCTTCTCTACCCTCATAATACAGATATACTATGGATACACCATTGGAGCTTGATCTTGAAACTTTTTGCTAGGATTTTGAACACAAATTCAAATACTTGAGAGTGTTTGGATTGGAGTTTGTAAACCAAGAAGTTCTTCCTCTTCCTTGGAGGTTAATCTCTCACTCTTTTCATTACTTAACTTCTTGTTCTTCATTTCAATACTGTTTTTCAGATTGTTTTGGCTTTTAAAATGTGGTTTGAAAGCTTGTTTCAAGGTGGAAGGGTTAGCCACCCTTCCATGAGCTTGTTTTTTAGCTTTGCTCTCTTGTTGTTCTTCATATTTAGGCTTCATTTCCTTCATTTCATCACTATTTTAGGTAGTTTTTGATTGAATATGAGTTGTTTATATGTATTTAAAGCTTACATAGATAGCTTGATCCTTGTCCCATATCTCTCTCCTTTGAAGATATTGCATAGCTCTCTTCTAGTTCCTCTTTTGTAGCATGAAAATGGATGTTTCATCCATGTTCCTCGAGTAGGAAGACAAGCCTGCAATCATCTTGTCTTAGCTTTCATTTATTGTTTTTGCTTAGTCTAGCCTTGTATTTGTTTTACAGCTACATAAGAGCTCTTTATCAAGGCCATTAAAGATTCTCTTTTTTCCTTTGAAACATGGAAATTGAGGTTTTAATCCATCTTCCATGAGTAGAAAGATAAGTCTCTTTGGTCTTCCTAATGATGGCATCTCCTGTTTATATGTTTTTCCTTCAAGAATGGCTTCTTTTAAACTTATTGTCTCTAAATTTGAGTACTCACTTGCTCTTATTCTCCATGAGATGTCATAGGTTTTGGCCATCTCTTTGAATGCCTCTTTCATAAATTGTCTATTTGTATCCATTGAATTATTTTCATCCCTTTGCTTCATTAATCATCATTTAAATACTCTTGAGATGTTTGATGATTTGTGAAGCAAGCCTATTCTCTCCTTGAGAAATTTTCATGATAAGAGAGAGTAGATGAACATCCTTTAGAAACCCCCTGTCTTGCTCTGTTTCCGTCGTGTCACAGCAGGTGTTTCTCTAACAATGGTAGCCGGTCACCACCTTGGACGGCCAACCGCTTCTCAAGGCCAGCCAGCCACCTTTTTTGTACGACAGTGGGTGCTTTTTCAGTGAAACAAAGCAGATCCTAAGGCCTGAAACAGAGTGATTTTCAGACTGTGAACATAGATAACTTCCAGCAATGAATAGTTGGGGTTTCCGAAGGATGTTCTCGCCCTTGACCGCTTGATTCACCACCTCTCCTTCGATCCCTTTAATGCATCTCCTTTGAGTTGGATTTTGTAAATAATTAGTTAGCTAATTCACTTATGTTTGTAATTAATTAGTTACTTTGCTTTCATTCGAATGTGTAATAGCTAGTTAATTTAGTTAATTCATTTGGTATTGTAATAATTAGTTTAATTAAGACATTTATTCAGACCCACTTGTGCGAGAGCAAATTTGTAACACTTGTAATATTTTGTATGTCTTCCAACCCCCATTCTTTCTCCCTTTTATTTACTTACTTACTATGGTTGCATGTAGTATCATATTTTTGGTTTCATATCATTACCATGACTTGCACCCATTTTTGCATACATTAGGATTTGGCTCCTCATAGTTGCTAAACATCGATTATTTCTTGCTTGAATACATGCGCTACCATATGCCTTGAATTGGTCCATATGTCATGTTAAGAAGTCAAATCCTAGTAGTTATATTTTGTATGTGTTGCATTAGTTACTTGCATATTAAAGCATGTATTTTGCTAATTATTTTTTTCTCTTTGGCTTGCCTCGGCTGAGTACTAGATGAGCCTTTCTTGCTTTAGTCTATTGCATGTGTGTTTGTGTTTCCATATCAAGCATGTTACCATGAGGCTTAGTGCTTATTTGATATACTTCTTGAATGCTTGTGGATGAAGGCTATTTCGCTTAAATTGAGATGATTTTGATTAATGTATATATGAGCTCGCTTTTTCAAAGTAGCACATATTCAAAATTATTTGCAAACAAAAATGAAATCAAAATATTCCAAAGTGGATTGCGTAGTCAATACTTGTGTGCCTCACATAGTAAGTTAGCATAATAATCGGAACAAGAGCATATAATGTACATAAAAATCACATCATGATTAGTAGAGGTCGATCTTTGATTGGGTAAGTGGGGTGCTCAATTGATGACCTTCCCTTCTCATACCTAAGTTTCCAAACCGAGAAGTGGCTTTTGGCACGAGTTATGGATTTTCTAAATTTTTCAAAAATATTTAAGTGGCCACTCTGAAATCTGGCAATACAGTCCATTTTTAACATTTCTGATTGTAAATAGACTTTGCGAAGATTTGCCAAATTTGAACTCTCATTTGTGTTTTTCTGTTTTACATTGCACTTGTGAAATCAGATTCAGAACAACGGGAGTGCGAACTGTAGGGCCATCGTGTCCGAGGAGACTAAATCCCTCAAAGGAACACGAAAAAATAGCTATATCCTATTGCTTCAAGTTCTTTTCCGAGGCTGATATTGGCATAATTTCCTTCAGGTGAACAACTACACTTTCGTACAATCACCCATTTCGTATTTCCTTTTTTTGATCGGCCATTTCGTATTTCCTTTACCTTCAACATAATGCTTCATCTTCTACCATTCATTTTTCCTATCACAGCCTCTGGATATGACCTTTGGTCTGTAGAGACTTATGTCCCACTTCTGCCTTCCCCTTGTTGGCTAGCTTGACTCTTTGCTTGAAAACGCACTGGGACTATTGAACCTTTTCCCCCTACCTTTTCCTTGCCAAATTCTACATGTTTTACCTCAATTGCCTTATCATCCACCCATAGTCCATTTGCTTTTTCAACTACTATTTTGGCAGCCACACAACAATCAAACCTTACAAAGCCAAATCTTGTGTTAATAACCCTTATTTTCTTTTGCGGCATGAACACATCCTTCAACACACCAAACTTCGTGAATAAGTTGTAGAACCCCTTTGGAATCACTGAGTTTGGTATGTTATTCACAAATATAGTGAAAACACCTGCACTTCCTTCATTCCTCCATATTCCTTGTCTTCCTCTTTGCCTCACGACAAGTATCCTTCCTCCCTGCTGAGTACCTTGCTTTCTCCATCCTTCTTGTTTCGCCATTTCTATGCCAATTTTACTTATAAATATAAAATGAAATAAAAAAATTCAATGATCTTTAAAAATCTAGTGGATTGAATTAATACCACAACTCTATTGCCTAGCAAGCACTATAAATATGTAATTATTTATTTATTTACAATTTATAGATTAAAAGATGGTAGAGTTTCATCTTAGTTAATGGGACGACAGTTGCGTTGGTGAGAGTAATGTGATGACATTGTAAAGTAGACGACTTGGGCTTTGGTACAATCTCATTACAAAAGATTGAAAATATATATATATATATATATATTTTGTACAATGCTTTTGTAATGAGATTGTACCAAAGCCCAAGTCGTCTACTTTACAATGTCATCACATTACTCTCACCAACGCAACTGTCGTCCCATTAACTAAGATGAAACTCTACCATCTTTTAATCTATAAATTGTAAATAAATAAATAATTACATATTTATAGTGCTTGCTAGGCAATAGAGTTGTGGTATTAATTCAATCCACTAGATTTTTAAAGATCATTGAATTTTTTTATTTCATTTTATATTTGTAAGTAAAATTGGCATAGAAATGGCGAAACAAGAAGGATGGAGAAAGCAAGGTACTCAGCAGGGAGGAAGGATACTTGTCGTGAGGCAAAGAGGAAGACAAGGAATATGGAGGAATGAAGGAAGTGCAGGTGTTTTCACTATATTTGTGAATAACATACCAAACTCAGTGATTCCAAAGGGGTTCTACAACTTATTCACTAAGTTTGGTGTGTTGAAGGATGTGTTCATGCCGCAAAAGAAAATAAGGGTTATTAACACAAGATTTGGCTTTGTAAGGTTTGATTGTTGTGTGGCTGCCAAAATAGTAGTTGAAAAAGCAAATGGACTATGGGTGGATGATAAGGCAATTGAGGTAAAACATGTAGAATTTGGCAAGGAAAAGGTAGGGGGAAAAGGTTCAATAGTCCCAGTGCGTTTTCAAGCAAAGAGTCAAGCTAGCCAACAAGGGGAAGGCAGAAGTGGGACATAAGTCTCTACAGACCAAAGGTCATATCCAGAGGCTGTGATAGGAAAAATGAATGGTAGAAGATGAAGCATTATGTTGAAGGTAAAGGAAATACGAAATGGCCGATCAAAAAAAGGAAATACGAAATGGGTGATTGTACGAAAGTGTAGTTGTTCACCTGAAGGAAATTATGCCAATATCAGCCTCGGAAAAGAACTTGAAGCAATAGGATATAGCTATTTTTTCGTGTTCCTTTGAGGGATTTAGTCTCCTCGGATAATTAGCATTGTTTTTTATAAATAAAAAAAGATCATTAATTGTTAGTTTTAAGCGACAGTTTAAAAAAATTTATCACAGAAAAATATCTAATTATTAGTTTTTAGCAATATATTTACAAAAATATTACAAAAAATATCGCTAATTGTTAGTTTTTAGAAATAGATTCAAAAAAACATCACAAAAATATCACTAGTTGTCAATTTTTAAAGAAGATTCTATTAGGACCAAATTTCAGTGCTGAATTGATAGCATTTAATGAAAATTAAGTCAAACTATATGGATTTGTTAGTAATTTACCATTTGTTTCTTTGGAGGACTTGCGTGTAGGTCTCAATAGATTCTGTGATAATTATTGACGTTTTTTTATAAGCAAAAAAAAAGTTACTAATTGTTAGTTTTTAATGACATTTTGACAATTCGTCATAGACAAACATTGCTAATTATTAGTTTTTAGCGATAGATTTAGAAAATTGTCACAAAAAACATTACTAATTGTCAAATTTTAGCGACAGATTCAAAAAATATCATGAATTGTCAATTTTTAGCACGGATTCTGATAGGACTAAATTTCAGCAATGTTTTGAAAAGATGTAATGGGAATTAAATCCAAATATTACAATATATTAATAAGGGTATGGCTTCTGTCCAGTTCGGGATCGGACTGGACCGT